GCCACTGGCGAGGTGATTCAGGACCAGACACTGCAGCTGAAGCGCTGGGTCGAGCACTACTCTGAGCTATACGCCAGGGACAATGTGGTCACCGAAGATGCCCTGAGCGCCATTGAGTGTGTGCCTGTGTTAATGGAGCTCGACAGTGAACCGACCCTGGAAGAACTCAGCGATGCCCTAGACTCCCTTGCTTCTGGTAAAGCTCCTGGCAAAGATGGCATTCCTGCTGAGACCTTGAAGTGCTGCAGAGGTAGCCTGCTCATGGAGCTGCACGAAATTCTCTGCCTCTGCTGGGAAGAAGGAGAGGTGCCACAGGACATGAGGGATGCCAACATCGTCACACTGTATAAGAATAAAGGTGACAGGGGCGACTGCAACAACTACCGTGGAATCTCCCTCCTCAGTATTGTCGGAAAGCTGTTTGCTCGAGTCGCATTGAAGAGGCTCCAAGTACTTGCAGAGAGAGTTTATCCAGAATCACAATGTGGATTCAGAGCTGGCAGGTCCACCATCGACATGGTCTTTTCCCTCAGACAACTGCAGGAGAAATGCAGGGAACAGAAGCAGCCACTCTTTGTAGCCTTCATAGACCTGACGAAGGCCTTCGACCTCGTCAGCAGGGATGGCCTGTTCAAGATCCTCCCCAAGATCGGATGCCCACCCAGGCTCCTCAGCATCATCAGATCTTTCCATGAGAACATGAGGGGCACCGTGGTCTTTGATGGCCTAACATCAGGCGCCTTTGACATCCGAAGTGGAGTAAAGCAGGGCTGCGTACTGGCTCCAACCCTATTCGGGATTTTCTTCGCAGTTATGCTGCGGCACGCCTTCGGATCTGTCACGGAAGGCATTTACCTCCGGACCAGGTCGGATGGGAAGCTCTTTAACCTCGCCAGGCTGAGAGCCAAGACAAAGGTTCGGCTGAGGTGTCTGCGCGACTTCCTCTTTGCCGACGACGCAGCAGTCACTGCCCACTCAGCTGAAGACCTCCAACGGCTCATAACCCGCTTCAGCGAGGCCTCTCAGGCTTTCGGACTCACCATCAGTCTGAAGAAAACACAAGTCATGGGACAAGGAGTGGACTCCCCACCTGACATCGGCATCTCTGATTCCAAACTGGAAGTTGTTCACGACTTCGTGTACCTGGGATCCACAATCTCTGACTCCCTCTCTCTTGATACGGAGCTAAACAAACGCATCGGTAAGGCATCTACTACCATGTCCAGACTGACAAAGAGAGTGTGGGCCAACAATAGGCTAACTGAGTATACTAAGATTCAGGTTTACAGATCCTGTGTCCTGAGCACTCTCCTTTATGGCAGTGAGTCTTGGACACTCCGCGCCCGTCAGGAAAGACGGCTGAATGCCTACCACATGCGCTGCCTTCGACACATCTTGGACATCACCTGGCAGGACAAGGTGACAAACAACAACGTCTTGGGGAGAGCAAGAATCACCAGCATGTACACAATGCTGAAACAGAGACGAATGCGCTGGCTCGGGCACGTTGTGCGAATGGGCGACGGCAGGATCCCCAAGGATCTCCTGTATGGAGAGCTGAGGCAGGGAAAGCGTCCAGTAGGCAAGCCCCAGCTACGGTACAAAGACGTATGCAAAAGGGACCTGAAAGCCATGGACGTCGATCTTGCTATATGGGAGACACTGGCTACAGACCGTTCAGCCTGGAGGCAGTCTGTTCAACGAGGTCTCTCCAAGTTCGAGGAGTCACTTGCCAAGGAATCGGAGGCAAAGAGACAGAGAAGGAAAGCCGGTAACCAGGAAGACAGACCAGAATCGGACTTCGTTTGTGCTCGGTGTGGGATGGACTGCCACTCTCGGATTGGCCTCATCAGTCACACCAGACGCTGCACCAGGATTGACAACTAGGGCGCAACTCCATAGTCTCCCGAGACTGAAGGATGCCTACTACTACTAGACCACGAGTGTGTGTGGTGTTGTAGTGGTCTAGACCACGTGTGTGTTGTTGTAGTGGTCTAGACCACGTGTGTGTGTGGTGTTGTAGTGGTCTAGACCACGTGTGTGTGTGGTGTTGTAGTGGTCTAGACCACGTGTGTGGTGGTGTTGTAGTGGTCTAGACCACGTGTGTGTGTGGTGTTGTAGTGGTCTAGACCACGTGTGTGTGTGGTGTTGTAGTGGTCTAGACCACGTGTGTGTGTGGTGTTGTAGTGGTCTAGACCACGTGTGTGTGTGGTGTTGTTGTGGTCTAGACCACGTGTGTGTGTGGTGTTGTAGTGGTCTAGACCACGTGTGTGTGTGGTGTTGTAGTGGTCTAGACCACGTGTGTGTGTGGTGTTGTAGTGGTCTAGACCACGTGTGTGTGTGGTGGTGTTGTGGTCTAGACCACGTGTGTGTGTGGTGTTGTAGTGGTCTAGACCACGTGTGTGTGTGGTGTTGTAGTGGTCTAGACCACGTGTGTGTGTGTTGTTGTAGTGGTCTAGACCACGTGTGTGTGTGGTGTTGTAGTGGTCTAGACCACGTGTGTGTGTGGTGTTGTAGTGGTCTAGACCACGTGTGTGTGTGGTGTTGTAGTGGTCTAGACCACGTGTGTGTGTGTGGTGTTGTAGTGGTCTAGACCACGTGTGTGTGCGGTGTTGTAGTGGTCTAGACCACGTGTGTGTGTGGTGGTGTTGTGGTCTAGACCACGTGTGTGTGTGGTGTTGTAGTGGTCTAGACCACGTGTGTGTGCGGTGTTGTAGTGGTCTAGACCACGTGTGTGTGTGGTGTTGTAGTGGTCTAGACCACGTGTATGTGTGGTGTTGTAGTGGCCTAGTTATCTTGAGTTAACCTAGTGGTTATCTTGAGGTTATCTTGAGATGATTTCGGGGTTTAGCGTCCCCGCGGCCCGGTCCTTGACCAGGCTTCCTGGATGTTATACATCCCCAGGAAGCAGCCCGTAGTAACTGTCTAACTCCCAGGTACCCATGTACTGCTAGGAGAACAGGGGCGTCAGGGTGAAAGAAACTGCCCATTTGTTTCCGCCATCGCCAGGGATCGAACCAGGACCTATAGGATTACGAATCTAGAGCGCTGTACACTCGGCTATCAGGCCCCCGTAGGTGGCTAGCTGGGACGAGGGGAAACAGTAGTGTGTGAGGGGGGGGGGGATCCTGGTCAAGGGGAGCCAGGGGGGGGTCCTGGTCAAGGGGAGCCAGGGGGGGGGGTCCTGGTCAAGGGGAGCCAGAGGGGGTCCTGGTCAAGGGGAGCCAGGGGGGGGGGTCCTGGTCAAGGGGAGCCAGGGGGGGGGTCCTGGTCAAGGGGAGCCAGGGGGGGGGGGTCCTGGTCAAGGGGAGCCAGGGGGGGGTCCTGGTCAAGGGGAGCCAGGGGGGGGGTCCTGGTCAAGGGGAGCCAGGGGGGGGTCCTGGTCAAGGGGAGCCAGGGGGGGGCTCCTGGTCAAGGGGAGCCAGGGGGGGGCTCCTGGTCAAGGGGAGCCAGGGGGGGGGGTCCTGGTCAAGGGGAGCCAGGGGGGGGGTCCTGGTCAAGGGGAGCCAGGGGGGGGTCCTGGTCAAGGGGAGCCAGGGGGGGGGGGTCCTGGTCAAGGGGAGACAGGGGGGGAGCCTGGTCAAGGGGAGCCAGGGGGGGGGGCTGGTCAAGGGGAGCCAGGGGGGGGGGCCTGGTCAAGGGGAGCCAGGGGGGGGGTGATAGCTCAGGTGAAGGTGAACAAGTCTAAGGGCTCAAGCTAACTAAGTATTTGTGACTCGGGAATTTGATCTGACGTTTCGAGTGCTTTTCCACTCTGGTAATCAGGCCATAAGCCATCACATCCTCTCACAACCTCTCACAATCAACCTCTCACAACCCCTCACAATCAACCTCTCACAACCCCTCACAATCAACCCCTCACAATCAACCTCTCACAACCCCTCACAATCAACCTCTCACAACCCCTCACAATCAACCTCTCACAACCCCTCACAATCAACCTCTCACAATCAACCTCTCACAACCCCTCACAATCAACCTCTCACAACCCCTCACAATCAACCTCTCACAACCTCTCACAATCAACCTCTGGCTGATCAGGGAAGCTCCCTTAGGAACTCGTCTATTTCCCTCTCGATAGCTTCTACATTATTTTGTAAAGAGGTTGAAATGTTGTAATATGTGAGCATTAAATGTATGGTGAATATTAAGTTGCCATCCTCACCCTCGTATCTCACACTTGGTGATCCACACACCTCACACTCGCTCCTCACCATCACAGCCAGCCTCAGTCTCCCTCACACCTCACCCTCGCTCCTCACCATGACAGCCAGCCTCAGTCTCCCTCACACCTCACACTCGCTCCTCACCATGACAGCCAGCCTCAGTCTCCCTCACACCTCACACTCGCTCCTCACCATGACAGCCAGCCTCAGTCTCCCTCACACCTCACACTCGCTCCTCACCATGACAGCCAGCCTCAGTCTCCCTCACACCTCACACTCGCTCCTCACCATGACAGCCAGCCTCAGTCTCCCTCACACCTCACCCTCGCTCCTCACCATGACAGCCAGCCTCAGTCTCCCTCACACCTCACACTCGCTCCTCACCATGACAGCCAGCCTCAGTCTCCCTCACACCTCACCCTCGCTCCTCACCATGACAGCCAGCCTCAGTCTCCCTCACACCTCACACTCGCTCCTCACCATGACAGCCAGCCTTAGTCTCCCTCACACCTCACACTCGCTCCTCACCATGACAGCCAGCCTCAGTCTCCCTCACACCTCACACTCGCTCCTCACCATGACAGCCAGCCTCAGTCTCCCTCACACCTCACACTCGCTCCTCACCATGACAGCCAGCCTCAGTCTCCCTCACACCTCACACTCGCTCCTCACCATGACAGCCAGCCTCAGTCTCCCTCACACCTCATCTTGGGCCTGACCGACTGTTCACAAACATTCGTGCACATCACTCGTGTAGAGATTATCCCTCGTGCTGACGGCGGTGAACCATACACTAAACAATTTATCCAACTAAAGAATATATTTACTTTGCAGGCTAAACAAATGATATAGTGAAGGTGACTGTAATAGTGTGGGAGTCCGAGCGGTGTTGGAGGCTCGGACACGCCCGGTCAACTTGGCCAGCGGTGTTGGAGGCTCGGACACGCCCGGTCAACTTGGTCAGCGGTGTTGGAGGCTCGGACACGCCCGGTCAACTTGGTCAGCGGTGTTGGAGGCTCGGACACGCCCGGTCAACTTGGTCAGCGGTGTTGGAGGCTCGGACACGCCCGGTCAACTTGGTCAGCGGTGTTGGAGGCTCGGACACGCCCGGTCAACTTGGTCAGCGGTGTTGGAGGCTCGGACACGCCCGGTCAACTTGGACAGCGGTGTTGGAGGCTCGGACACGCCCGGTCAACTTAGCCAGCGGTGTTGGAGGCTCGGACACGCCCGGTCAACTTGGTCAGCGGTGTTGGAGGCTCGGACACGCCCGGTCAACTTGGCCAGCGGTGTTGGAGGCTCGGACACGCCCGGTCAACTTGGCCTGCGGTGTTGGAGGCTCGGACACGCCCGGTCAACTTGGCCTGCGGTGTTGGAGGCTCGGACACGCCCGGTCAACTTGGCCAGCGGTGTTGGAGGCTCGGACACGCCCGGTCAACTTGGCCTGCGGTGTTGGAGGCTCGGACACGCCCGGTCAACTTGGCCAGCGGTGTTGGAGGCTCGGACACGCCCGGTCAACTTGGGCAGCGGTGTTGGAGGCTCGGACACGCCCGGTCAACTTGGCCAGCGGTGTTGGAGGCTCGGACACGCCCGGTCAACTTGGCCAGCGGTGTTGGAGGCTCGGACACGCCCGGTCAACTTGGCCAGCGGTGTTGGAGGCTCGGACACGCCCGGTCAACTTGGGCAGCGGTGTTGTGTTGATCTTAGTGTTGCTAGTGCGGACATGGGGAGTCGGCGGGCCAGGACCGGGTCGGTGGCGGGGCCACAGCGCCACGCCAAGATGGACCATGAGCGCCGTAATCACGAGCTCCTGAAGCAATTAACTTCAGCCACTTCCGCGGTCAAGACAGCCAAGGGCGTGGTGGGGCAGCCCCTCATGTCCAGGTCCCTGACGGCGGAGCTGGAGAAGGGGCTGCAGGTGGAGGAACTACCCAGCCACGACGTGCGGGTTAGGACGCAACCACTAAAGTCATTCCAGCGACAGACGTCCAGCTCAGCGATGAAGGCCAACAGTGCCTTCGGGGACAACATTCTGGAGGCCAGAGTGAGCCGGGGCCAGGAGCTGAGTCTCTCCAAGAACGGGAACAAACAAGTATCTAGCCCGACGAGATCTGTGAACGCGAGGAATAAGAGCAACAGACGAGGGAGCCAACAGTCATCCGACAACAGTAGGCGCTCGGCTGTGTTTGAGCGCCTCTCTAAGATAGACTCCAATAAGAGCTTGGGTCGGGTGGACCATCCTGGTAGTAACAGGACTCGTGACCACAGTCCCGTGAAGAGCGAGAGGAAGGGCTCTCTAGGGCACAACAGCTGCAGCGACAAGCATCAGAGCGGCCGTAAGCCAGGTGTCAGCGATGGCTCTACGAGGCTCCGGCGGGGTATGGCCCTAACACCCTCCAGGGAGGCCGATGACGACCTCATCACGGAGAAACAGGAACAAGACAATATCCCCGAGACGGTGGACAAGGACCGTAACGACCTTCAAATGTCACGACACGATGAGACACTCTCCCCTCCCTCGCCGCCTGCAGCAGCGTCGTCAGGTACTGCCGCACCCTCACACACACAAAAAGAGAGGCAGAAACAAACGGGATCACTCTCGCCGGACCCTCACCTTCACCAGACCAAAATAGACGGTAGGAGTTGCCACCACGTGGCGCCCAGTACCACCTCCGTCAGGTCATCTGGCCGCCTGGCGTCCGGTGCTGCCCATAGTCATAACGTTGATAAAACCTGCCGCATCAACAATACCTACGTGAAGAGAGGCAACGATCACCAGCCTAAAATAGCTGACACAGGTTCTTCGAAATTTGAACTAGTTCAGAAATCTTCCAGGAAGAGTGACACATTACCGGGAAAAACTGCCATTGTGGAGGAGTCGAGTGGTGAGCGGGCAGTCCGTAGCGCGGCCAGGACCAGGGCCCTGACGGTGGCCTCTGTGGCAGAGGTGATACAGCAGGTGCGGGAGCGGGTGAGTGAAGGGAGAGAGCGGGAGAGGCGGGAGTCGGCCGTGGACGACGACAAAGACGTGTGCGAGGCTGACGTGGGCGAAGAGCAGGATGAGTTCTACAAGATCAGCGTGCAGACGCGCCTAGTGACCTACAACAACAGCACACTCGTCATAAAGAACACCTCCAAGAGCGAGGGTACAGACAACAGCGACGCCGAGGCTGACTCACCGCTCCCCACCACCCTGCAAACCTCATCAACTGCGGCCATCCTCGCTGACGTCCTAGATGACACCACCCACTCCCACGCCCTTCCTCACCCGACGGAGGCCCGCCACCAGGAGGACACAACTGGAGAATTAAGCAGAGCACGTAGCGTCAGGAAGAAACTCTCCCACTTTGTTAGCAAGGGCAGGAGCTTCCTGAGTGAGGTGTACAGCGCCACGCAGACCAAACTGGTGCAGTATGGGAGACACGACTCTCTCAGCAGCAGCTCCTCCCTGGAGTGTGACAGCGGCTACTACAGCCTCCCGCCGCCACTGGTGGAGACCAATCCCATCTGGGTGGAGGACCACGTCCAACGAGCCACGTCCTGGCTGCAGGAACACGGCTGCTACCCCGAGGCGGTCACCACTCCAGTAGAGCCTGACCTTGCTGTAAGTGGCACCCGGAAGAGGGTCAGCCCCTCTCACTCTGGCATAATGACTGGCACTGCTGGTTGCATCAGGGGTAAGGGCCATGCAGGGGGGAGTGACACTACTCTTGAGCAACAACATCCTAGCATCAAGGTTGATGAAGAGTGGATCAAGAAGAACATTCTGTGTACGTGTAAGTGTAGAGATAGACCAATACCAGGTGGTAGTGAAGTAACAGGTACTGGTGGAACATGTAGTGGCCCTACCACCGTACCTAGTGGCCCTACCACCGTGCCTAGTGGCCCTACCACCGTGCCTAGTGGCCCTACCACCGTGCCTAGTGGCCCTACCACCGTGCCTAGTGGCCCAACCACCGTGCCTAGTGGCCCTACCACCGTGCCTAGTGGCCCTACCACCGTGCCTAGTGGCCCTACCACCGTGCCTAGTGGCCCTACCACCGTGCCTAGTGGCCCTACCACCGTGCCTAGTGGCCCTACCACCGTGCCTAGTGGCCCTACCACCGTGCCTAGTGGCCCTACCACCGTGCCTAGTGGCCCTACCACCGTGCCTAGTGGCCCTACCACCGTGCCTAGTGGCCCTACCACCGTGCCCAGTGGCCCTACCACCGTGCCCAGTGGCCCTACCACCGTGCCCAGTGGCCCTACCACCGTGCCCAGTGGCCCTACCACCGTGCCTAGTGGCCCTACCACCGTGCCTAGTGGCCCTACCACCGTGCCCAGTGGCCCACTAGCTGTGGCTGGTCACCCTCAAGCCCAGCTGCCACCCGTTACAGTATCCACCTCTGTATTTACCTCTACTGCCCACCAGGCCACGCTGGGAAAAGTAGGTTCTAGCGAGTACAACCTGCCTCCTGGAGATGGCCTGCCTCCTAGAGATGGCCTGCCTCCTGGAGATGGCCTGCCTCCTGGAGATGGCCTGCCTCCTGGAGATGGCCTGCCTCCTGGAGATGGCCTGCCTCCTGGAGAAGAAAGTCTGGAGAGAGAGTGTGACTCAGGATCGGGAGAGTGTACATCGTGTGTGATGGAGGAGGAGCTGTGCTACTGCTCGTGCCACGAGGAGGAGGGTGGCCAGGCGCCGCTCCACCTGCCCCAGGAGGTGCAGGAGCTGCTGGATGCAGATCACGCAAGGTACGTGTTGCTGCTGACTTTGACACCTCTCACTAACACACGCCTGCCGGAGCTCGCCTCCTTCATACTAACATTTATACTATCACCACAAGTGGCAAGACTCCCGCCACCTCTGTCTGTCTGTCTTATGTTGGTGAAGGCAGCTCCGTCTTGTTTGTTTACCTTCCCGTGTTTACTGCCCGTGGTATAGTCTTCTGCCCCCCCCCCCTGGTTTGTAGTCGGGAGGGGGTGGCCTCTCCCCAGCTTTGTAGTCGGGAGGGGGTGGCCTCTCCCCAGCTTTGTAGTGGGGAGGGGGTGGCCTCCCCCCAGCTTTGTAGTGGGGAGGGGGTGGCCTCCCCCCAGCTTTGTAGTGGGGAGGGGGTGGCCTCCCCCCAGCTTTGTAGTGGGGAGGGGGTGGCCTCCCCCCAGCTTTGTAGTGGGGAGGGGGTGGCCTCCCCCCAGCTTTGTAGTGGGGAGGGGGTGGCCTCCCCCCAGCTTTGTAGTGGGGAGGGGGTGGCCTCCCCCCAGCTTTGTAGTGGGGAGGGGGTGGCCTCCCCCCAGCTTTGTAGTGGGGAGGGGGTGGCCTCCCCCCAGCTTTGTAGTGGGGAGGGGGTGGCCTCCCCCCAGCTTTGTAGTGGGGAGGGGGTGGCCTCCCCCCAGCTTTGTAGTGGGGAGGGGTGGCCTCCCCCCAGCTTTGTAGTGGGGAGGGGGTGGCCTCCCCCAGCTTTGTAGTGGGGAGGGGGTGGCCTCCCCCCAGCTTTGTAGTGGGGAGGGGGTGGCCTCCCCCAGCTTTGTAGTGGGGAGGGGGTGGCCTCCCCCCAGCTTTGTAGTGGGGAGGGGGTGGCCTCCCCCCAGCTTTGTAGTGGGGAGGGGGTGGCCTCCCCCCAGCTTTGTAGTGGGGAGGGGGTGGCCTCCCCCCAGCTTTGTAGTGGGGAGGGGGTGGCCTCCCCCCAGCTTTGTAGTGGGGAGGGGGTGGCCTCCCCCCAGCTTTGTAGTGGAGAGGGGGTGGCCTCCCCCCAGCTTTGTAGTGGGGAGGGGGTGGCCTCCCCCCAGCTTTGTAGTGGGGAGGGGGTGGCCTCCCCCCAGCTTTGTAGTGGGGAGGGGTGGCCTCCCCCCAGCTTTGTAGTGGGGAGGGGGTGGCCTCCCCCCAGGTCTATGGGAAGCAGCCCTCACCCTCTGGAACCAGAGGGTGAGGGGGCCCCCAGGTGTGAACCAGAGGGTGAGGGGGCCCCTCAGGTGTGAACCAGAGGGTGAGGGGGCCCCCCAGGTGTGAACCAGAGGGTGAGGGGGGCCCCCAGGTGTGAACCAGAGGGTGAGGGGGCCCCCCAGGTGTGAACCAGAGGGTGAGGGGGCCCCCCAGGTGTGAACCAGAGGGTGAGGGGGCCCCCCAGGTGTGAAGGGGCCCCCCAGGTGTGAACCAGAGGGTGAGGGGGCCCCCCAGGTGTGAAGGGGCCCCCCAGGTGTGAACCAGAGGGTGAGGGGGCCCCCCAGGTGTGAAGGGGCCCCCCAGGTGTGAACCAGAGGGTGAGGGGGCCCCCCAGGTGTGAACCAGAGGGTGAGGGGGGCCCCCAGGTGTGAACCAGAGGGTGAGGGGGGGCCCCCAGGTGTGAACCAGAGGGTGATGGGGGGCCCCCAGGTGTGAACCAGAGGGTGAGGGGCCCCCAGGTGTGAACCAGAGGGTGAGGGGGCCCCCCAGGTGTGAACCAGAGGGTGAGAGGGCCCCCCAGGTGTGAACCAGAGGGTGAGGGGGCCCCCAGGTGTGAACCAGAGGGTGAGGGGGCCCCCCCAGGTGTGAACCAGAGGGTGAGGGGGCCCCCAGGTGTGAACCAGAGGGTGAGGGGGCCCCCCAGGTGTGAACCAGAGGATGAGGGGCCCCCAGGTGTGAACCAGAGGGTGAGGGGGCCCCCCAGGTGTGAACCAGAGGGTGAGAGGGCCCCCCAGGTGTGAACCAGAGGGTGAGAGGGCCCCCCAGGTGTGAACCAGAGGGTGAGGGGGGCCCCCCAGGTGTGAACCAGAGGGTGAGGGGCCCCCCCAGGTGTGAACCAGAGGGTGAGGGTCCGCCGCCTGTGCTCAAGATCAAATATACCTGATCAACCAGGCTGTAGCTCATACGTCAGGCTGCAAGCAGCCGCGTCCAACAGCCTGGTTGACCAGTCCAGCAACCAGGAGACCGGGCCGCGGGGACCCTAAGCCCCGAAATCATCGCAAGGTAAGGTAACTGTAAAGAAGAGCGAACAGCACCGCAGTTGAGGGTAGACATTGTTTGTGTTGTTTATAAATTCAGCTACTGTGAACAAAAAGTTGCAAGTAGCACGGGCTATGGTGAGCCCGTAGTGGACTTACCTGGCACAGGAGCGGGGCAAGTAGCGCGGGCTATGGTGAGCCCGTAGTGGACTAACCTGGCACAGGAGCGGGGCAAGTAGCACGGGCTATGGTGAGCCCGTAGTGGACTTACCTGGCACAGGAGCGGGGCAAGTAGCACGGGCTATGGTGAGCCCGTAGTGGACTTACCTGGCACAGGAGCGGGGCAAGTAGCACGGGCTATGGTGAGCCCGTAGTGGACTTACCTGGCACAGGAGCGGGGCAAGTAGCACGGGCTATGGTGAGCCCGTAGTGGACTTACCTGGCACAGGAGCGGGGCAAGTAGCACGGGCTATGGTGAGCCCGTAGTGGACTTACCTGGCACAGGAGCGGGTCAAGTAGCACGGGCTATGGTGAGCCCGTAGTGGACTTACCTGACACAGGAGCGGGGCAAGTAGCACGGGCTATGGTGAGCCCGTAGTGGACTTACCTGGCACAGGAGCGGGGCAAGTAGCACGGGCTATGGTGAGCCCGTAGTGGACTTGCCTGGCACAGGAGCGGGGCTGTAACTTTGGTGTGCCTGACCAAAGGCTCGCTATATAGGCCGGAAGCCTTGCACCTTTTTATGCGCGACTCGTCCCGAGGTGAGTCGTGCATGTGTGCGATAATCAGTACCGTTCGAGCGCCACTTGGATCTTAATTGCCTTAAGATTTAACCTACAGGGATGTGTGTGAGAGACAGACGCACACACACAGACAGACAGCTCAGTAGTAACAGATTATAATTAATAGAGGAAATGGTTGATTGAAGGACTGGATGTAAAAGCTAGACGCTTCCATAATCAATAGGGTAATGTGGCTAACATACGGACATGTACACAAGTGTGGCTTGACGGTACCCGAGTGTCCAAGACCAAGTACACTATTGTCCAGAGAGGTGTACGAAGGCTGTGATGCACCGGCTGAAGCACAGCTGGTCCGGAGTGGCCGGCAATGAGCTCCAAGAACTTGGACCGGAACTTGGCAAATGTTGTCTCGCACACCACAGCGGCTCACTGGGGACTGGCCAGACACTTCCAGTGCTAGACATATACAGATAATTAGCGTACGCGAATTTTTATATATATATATTCCTTCTCGAAGCGTCGGCTACTCATGGCAGACGACTTAGGCAGACGTAACGCAGACTGAGACTTAGGCAGACGTAACGCAGACTGAGACTTGGGCAGACGTAACGCAGACTGAGACTTAGGCAGACGTAACGCAGACTGAGACTTAGGCAGACGTAACGACTTAAGATTATGAAATGGGCAAACGTGAGGTATCAATGTCAGTAGAGGGGGATTATGATATAATTGATGAACGATTGCAATGGCCACTCTGTCATACTGGTAAATACAGGTGGAATAATGTGTCACTCACAGCACAAGTGCTCATATAGGGGGACAAAACATAAGGGGGGGGGGGTGAGGTCATGACGGTGAGGGTGTAGGCAGGTCAGGTCAGGTCAAGGAAGGTCAGGTCAGGTCAAGGAAGGTCAGGGCTGGTCAGGGATTAACCTAGTTATAAACAATATTTTGTCGTTCATTTAGGCAGAGGAGGGGTCAGCACGCTGTGTTCTCTTCATCCACGTCTACCCTTCATCCACGCCTGCCCTTCATCCACGTCTGCCCTTCATCCACGCCTGCCCTTCATCCACGCCTGCCCTTCATCCACGTCTGCCCTTCATCCACGCCTGCCCTTCATCCACGCCTGCCCTTCATCCACGCCTGCCCTTCATCCACACCTGCCCTTCATCCACGCCTGCCCTTCATCCACGCCTGCCCTTCATCCACGCCTGCCCTTCATCCACACCTGCCCTTCATCCACGCCTGCCCTTCATCCACGCCTGCCCTTCATCCACGCCTGCCCTTCATCCACGCCTGCCCTTCATCCACGCCTGCCCTTCATCCACGCCTGCCCTTCATCCACGCCAGCCCTTCATCCACGCCAGCCCTTCATCCACGCCTGCCCTTCATCCACGCCTGCCCTTCATCCACGCCTGCCCTTCATCCACGTCTGCCCTTCATCCACGTCTGCCCTTCATCCACGTCTGCCCTTCATCCACGTCTGCCCTTCATCCACGCCTGCCCTTCATCCACGCCTGCCCTTCATCCACGCCTGCCCTCTTCATCCACGCCTGCCCTCTTCATCCACGCCTGCCCTCTTCATCCACGCCTGCCCTCTTCATCCACGCCTGCCCTCTTCATCCACGCCTGCCCTTCATCCACGCCTGCCCTTCATCCACGTCTGCCCTTCATCCACGTCTGCCCTTCATCCACGCCTGCCCTTCATCCACGCCTGCCCTCTTCATCCACGCCTGCCCTCTTCATCCACGCCTGCCCTCTTCATCCACGTCTGCCCTCTTCATCCACGTCTGCCCTTCATCCACGCCTACACTCAATTCTTGGATTAATGTGTATGAAGAGAGGGAGGGAGGCGTGGCCCTGAACTACACCAGATGACCCAATACGTGTGTGGCCAGGGCCCCCAGGTGTAGAGGGCCCCCAGGTGTAGAGGGCCCCCCAGGTGTAGAGGGTCCCAGGTGTAAAGGGCCCAGGTGTAGAGGGCCCCCAGGTGTAGAGGGTCCCAGGTGTAAAGGGCCCAGGTGTAGAGGGCCCCAGGTGTAAAGGGCCCAGGTGTAAAGGGCCCCAGGTGTAGAGGGCCCCCAGGTGTAGAGG